ACAAGATAGCGCAAGGTTTTGGAGAAGAGTGACTACACTCCCACTCCAGAGGCGAATATGGCAGCAGGCAGCACATCCGGCCGGAGAAGGCGGAGAGCATCACCCAAGTAAGCCCACCCATGACCGCCACCAGCAGCATGCAATAGCATGCAGCTACGCAGAAGGAGGAGAATGCCGATCAGCAAACTCGCTTTCCTGAAGCCGGCAGATAAAAGAAACTAGGAAGCAAAGAGAGGCTAAGGTCTCTGGGCAACATAGCTCGACCCCACAAGCTTGCCCTTCCATGACCATCAGAGGAAGCTCTCGCTAATCAGGTGGAATGTTAAGAGGAAGAAGAGCCGAGCATGCAAAGAAATGGGGCCATACGAGCCAACAACGTCATGTCACCTTGTGAACCTTCGCATTTCTGAGTTTATCATGGCAGGTTCGACTGTTTCACTCATGGGATTCATGACGTTGAAGCTCAAGGGAGGCCTCAGACACCGTCAGCCGTTTCCTTGGAAAGGCATGGGTCTAAGCGAGGAATCCTGTGCCTGGAAGCTGAGATAAGGATAGTGGCAACAACCTGAACGAGCAAGGACAGCCTGCATCAAGACCGAGCAAGATTTGCTACACCTCGAGATCTACAGAGCATGGAGACTGCAGGACCAGTCGCTTGTGCCATAGAACAGACCATGGGCAGGTGAGGGCGGATTGCCGATTCTCATGACTGAATCCTGCTACACGGCCCCTTGGATCACGATCGTTTAACCAACACTTCTCCTGGAGGGTGGCTCAACGCAATTTAGAATGCAGCTGCTGGCAGGATTTGAACCAAATGTTTCTAGGGTTGGTGCACAAGCCGTAGAAACCCAACTTCTGACGCTTGCACCCGTTTGCCAAACACTATTCAGCATTGAGGGGTGAGAAGTAAAGTCCGTTTAATGAGTGCAGCACGACGGGCTGACATGGTTAGGTGGTCCACAATGACCCAAAAACTGTCTGTCTGCGCGAGCCGGAAGGCTTTGCATAGAAATCTGAGAAGAGTCAGACAAGTACCTAAATAGGGCGAATTGGAGCATACTGGCGCAAAATGGAGAAGATACAAGAAAGTTGGGGATGTTGCACGGGCTCTTGATTTAGACAACATTCAAGTGTCGAGGCTGCGCTCGCACTCGGGAAGGCATACTTCTGCCTATGCTCCTGGAAGCTAGAAACGGAAAAGGATTTGTTCAGGACCTGTAGCGGACAGACGCCGGACGAATCCAAGCCCTCCATGAAGTGGGAAGGGCTTTCTAATCTTGCCCTGGACATGCAGGTATAACTACGCTTTTTCCCGACACGGATATGTAGAGGGGAAGCTCGCATGAAGCTACCAAACCAAAACCCTTCGGGGCCATAAAAAGCCGAGCACACACCCATTCGCAGGCCCGGAATTTGCCTCGAGGTCCGCTCGAGCCATCCTCTTTGTTTCTTCTTCCGCAGACAACGGAGATACCTGCGAGGCATTTCTTGGCTCGATGAAAACATGGTATGGTGTAGCACTCATTTGTCAAGATGCATATGAGATCTGTGCATATTGTGAACGAGCCCGCCGCACCAGCGGCAAGGCGAAACCTCCGGGAAGGCAAAACCGAAGAAAAACCTGCAGCTCGAGCTCCTGCCACCATGAAAACTTGTTGGACATTACAGTCTTACAGCATACGGCCCTGATTCCCACCTCACCCTTCGCCATGTTCCAGTGGTTCATATACGTCCAAATCTCGGACACGACCTGGACCCGTGGCTGGCATTCAGAAAGACTGAACTCAAGTACTGAAACAAGTTTGCCCACCCGCTTTGAAACAAGTGGGTCGAAGCTTGTGAAAACCTCAGCTACGCGAAGGGTCGTCAAGCTGAGGGAAAGATCCGCTGAGCGCCTGGCTCGCGCAAAGTCGAACCATGTGACGACACCAGCCTGTGTCGTGCAGATCTTGCGGAGTTCCTGTCAATGACCAACCCGAGGATCGGCAGTGTGGCTGTGCTCAAGACTGCCATCAGGCCTAACTAACAACGAGCCTCCGACAGTCCGAAGTTCTTCTTCAGAAGATTCAGGTGGAGATACCAGGGTAGCTCGGACAGATTTGCGCATAACTTCTCCACGGCGACGATAGCCTGACCATCAGCTGCACCGACGTTTGGGCGGCAAAGTCATCCGAGGCTTTGAACAGGAGGCCTCTGGGCTCACCCCGTTTGCAGGTTGAAGTCCTTGGCCAGCACGATTCTGCGCCGTGACGGCATAGGAAACAAAAAACAGCATCTCCAAGAACACGCGCAGCACTGTGAACCGTCACAACGACATGCCAGCTGATTGGAGGCAAAATATAATCATGAATCCGTAAAGTTTCAAAACTCAAAGCGGGGTGGCGCCAAATGCAGCACTGAAAAGACAACTTCCCCTCACTGGAGGGCAGGACATGCAGCCTAATGCCACTTCGTTACCGCCTCTTACAAGCACTCGCCGAGCTTGGAGCGGCATGGTGGGCTGCCACTGAAGGGCACAAAGCCTGGCAAGCAAGCCGCACCCATGGTTCAAGGCAAATGGAGGCCGTGTCGATTTTTCCGGACCAGCCCCAAAACCAACCACACAAACTGGCGATGTCGCTTGCTCGGGGCAAGCCTCCACCACGCTATCCTTGCTCCCTGCCTCCCTCCACTCTGATCCTATCCTCCTCCACTGCACATCCTTTGCTTGAAGAGCGAGCCAGCCCAGGCGAGAGCTAACTGGCATCATGCAAATTGATGGCTGTGCGATTCTTGCCGTGCTTGTACGAGTCTTCCCTGCACTTGAAAGGAATTCGCTCTTTTCTCAGAGCACGCTTCCACTCCACTGAGCCTTATCCGATGAGATGCAATCACGTGTGTGGCTGCTTGAAGGGCTTACATGCACCAGCAGCTTGGCAAACCGCACCGGTGATTTCAACCGCCAAGGCTCGCTCTACTGGATATCACTGGATTTCACAGCTTCTCCTGCTCCTCCGCACAATGTTCGCACGCCTTCCTGCACTTTCGCATCCCGCACTCCTTCATCATGATCCTCGTCCCTGGCCTCGCTCTGGCTCACCGCATATCGCCCAGACGAACAACCAGCACTTTGATACCATCTGTTCGCACGTCTCTCTTCATAATTCTTCTCTCTTCCCTTTCTCTCTTCTTCTGTTTCAAAATCTTGTGCTAGCGCAGTCCGCGGTCTGATTAGCTCGCGAGGACGAAAGCGCTACATCTTCGATTCCCAGGGTATCCAACCTCACCTGTTCCCACCCTTCTTACGCATCAGACATAGGAGTGCAGGCAGGGACAGTGAACGCTCAGGCTTGCCTCTGAATCTGTGTCTTTTCTACCCTTCTTGCTGACGTTTCAACACCTGACCTGATCTGATTCCAACCGCACGGAGCTTTTTAGGGAAGAACGTGAAAATGCAAGTGCAGCTGTTCATTACATTTACAAGCCAATGTGCTTTATGAGTTTCCCTTATTGCAAACTAGGCAGAAGCCACTCGCAACGAGTCCCGGCTGCCTGCATCGCAAGCTTGTCGAAATGTCTGCTGCATTTTGGCCTGGCAGTGTTAAAGCAGCACGCATACCTTTGGAATTGTTGGTCCGAGCAAAGTCATGGTCAGCAAGTGCCAAAGAACAAACGAGCCAACATTGCGACATGCTCCAAAGCAAACTTGTCACCTTGCCTGTTTTTCCGACCGGTTTGCTGTCTGGAGGAGGACAACAGTAGCCGGACTCTGCTTCTTTATGGCGAAAGAATCCCTCCCAGCTCGAGACTGTTTTGCTTCCGTTGCTGCTTGTGATGCTGGGCCTTCCATTTTAAACATAATTTCACACCGCAGGTGCTTGAGCGGAGCGCGTGCAGAGCCAGTGATTGTCATGGCAGCCAGCTTTAGGTTGGACTAAGGAGTCAGTTGAGGGGGGGGGGAAGGGGCGGGGGGGGGGGGGTGGGGGACGAAGGGTCGAAGGGCTTGA